AACCTGACTAAATAAGCTTTCAAATATGGAGATACCGTAACAACATTAGCACAACAGTGTGGTATAAGTGTGTTGTATAAATTGTGAGCTACAGTTCTGTTTTAAAGAGCAAAGAAATAATTGGAGGAAATGACGTCAGATATTTTCATGTCTTCCAAAACAAACAGAAGAAATAAAGTCGTTATTCCTTTCATTTGATCGAATATTTCTTTCATGACAGCCAAAATATCTGCATCTGAAACAACCTCTTAAATAGGCATATATAAGGATAGGACAAATTACGGAACATATGACGAGCCCATAATACATGTATGGATTAAGTTACCCCCTAACGCGTAGACTACGTTCATTCAAATATATTCATTTGTGCTTGATTTGTAAACTGGAAAGTGAAAGAATCATGGAATTTAAAATTGTGATATATTGTTTTCACAATGTAACAAAGGATCGTTAGGTTTTGAAGAAATAGGCGTAGGCCATTTTAATGTACATATCTCCTAAACGACTACAGGCAAATCAACCAAATTTGCTCAGAACAATTTTTTTCATTATCCCTTCCGACAATGTGAAAATGGATAAAAGTGCGAAAAATCATTAAATAAATGCGCCAGAGACATACAGTTTTACACCTGCCATGGTACGAGATGGCTTTATACGAGCCGCCGATGTCAATGTTAAATTAGCGTGACACTGCCCACATTTAAGTGAAATCACATATCTCAGGACCTACTGGCCCAATTGATGTACCGAATTCAATACATATAATTTCCTTGATACTCCTATGTCACAGTGCAAAAATGAACGAAATGGACTACAACCATGCTTACTTCCCAAATCACACAACTTTATATTCCATCTGATTCTTTCACTTTTCAGTATACAAATTGAGTACCAATGGTTTGGAACCATTTGCATAACCTTGGATTCAAAAAGAAGCTCGTTATATGGGTGCCACATGAACTAACGCAAAAAACATGATGGACCGAATTTTCATCTGCGAATCGCTGCTGAATCACAACAAAATCTACCCGTTTCTGAAGCGGATTGTGACTGCCGATGGAAAATGGGTCTCTTACGACAACATCGAGCGCAAACGGTCGTGGTCAAAGCTCGCGAAATCGGCCCAGACGGTGGCCAAGACCGGATTGACGGCCGGGAAGGTTTTGCTGTGTGTTTGGTGGGATTGGCAAGGAATCATCTTTTACGAGCTGCTCCCCTATGGCCAAACGCTCAATTCGGCCTTCTACTGCCAACAACTGGACCGCTTGAAGGCAGCACTCATCCAGAAGAGGCCATCTTTGATCAACAGAGGCCTAATGGTGTTCCATCAGGACAACGCCAGGCCACACACGTCTTTAGTGACGCGCCAGAAGCTCCGAGAGCTCGAATGGGAGGTCCTAATGCACCCATCTTATAGTCCGGCCCTGGCACCAAGTAATTACCATCTTTTCCTGTCCATGGCGAACGCGCTTAATGGTGAGAAGTTGGCCTCAAGAGAGGCCTGTGAAAATTGGCTCTCCGAGTTTTTTGCCAATAGGGGCGCAGCCTTCTACGAGAGGGGTATAATGAAGTTGGCATCTCGTTGGCAACAAGTTTACGAACAATACGGAGCATATTTGACTCGGACAAATGTACACAAAGTTATCATCTTTTGAAAAATCAATAAAAAACCGACCATATATTAGTCAGGTGTGTCATTGACTTCAACATTATCCACAGAAGAATTGATGAAAAAATTGCCTTTTTTACAATATGTTTTTAATCTTATCAACGGCGACGTTTTGTTCACGTATTTTTTAAATAATATTCGCAAACATATTAAAAGGCCACAAGCATCGATAGTAATATTAAAGTGATGAATTTGATCTTCCGAGCGCGACTATTTTTAATACACTTTTATTAGCTTGTGTTGTATGTATGTAATGGAATTTTAGAGCTGAAACTTGAACCTTTGCAGACGTGTCAAGAACCGATGACAATGCAATAATTTGATAACAGTTTCCCATTACTTTAAAGGTGGGCGTAACCCCGCCCCTAAATGGTTTAATGTATATATTATATCTTCCAAATCGCTAAAGCTAACTCTACCAAATTTGCTGAGAGGAAGTCCTTTTAGCTCTAGCTAATAACCACGCCCACTGCCTATATAGTTATGGTTAAATGTTAAAATATATTAAAAGTGCGATAACTGACGAAATAAAGGCGCCATAAGCATTAATTTTCAGAAATAAGATGGTAGGGAAGAGTTTTATAGTAGGAAGTTTAAAAATTACTTTAAAGGGTGTTTTTTCAAGTTTTTTTCAAACTATAATATATCTTTTTCAAAATTAAGAAGCTATTTTGCCAACAGATAAAAGTATTTCTTTAAATATGATTGAAAGCCTATTCAAATATTTTTCCGAAATATTTTGCAACTATTTTCAATGAAACACAATCACAATAAACGGATAACTTAATTTTTTTTCATGAATTAACAAAACTTTTTACCTTTCTGTTCACAATTTACAGGCTATTTTACGGGTTTTCTTTGTTGCCTCTTATCGAAAAAAGTAACGATAAAAACTTGGCGTAATCTCTTTAATACTTGGTTGCAATTGCGGTTGGTTTCAAAAGCATACAATATGTTCGAAAATTTTAATTTTATCGCCTATTTTTTGGCATATAATATGCAAATGTACGAGTATATGCAAATACTTATGTTTAATATTGTCCGAGTTCGGCAATTCAAAGCAATAGGCAAGACTAACTTTATAACTACATTTTTAGTTTCACTAGCAAAGGGTATAGTGCCATAAAATCGGTCTGAATACTAAAAATACACACATAAGAATTAGATTTTCAATTACATCGCCTCTTTTCTGTTTCTCGCTGGTTCACTTGCTCCAATGATGCAAGTATTAACGAACAAGGGTATAGAAAGAATGAAAGCGGACGGTTGCCATATTTTGACAGTGAGAAATTGTTTGGATTGTCTGCTTACGATGCGTGTCACGCACATCCTGGCGTTGGTGATGAAGTAAAATATTTTATTTTGTCTCTCTATTCCATACCTATTTAAGGTGTTCGCATCGTTATCCACTTTAGGCCCCAACCATGTGAGCATACATACATATACTACATTACCTATGTATAATATTTATACGCCCGCGTTAACATCTTTACAACTAATTTCTTACTTGTGCCGACATTATATTCATTTTCAGCAAGCAATGAATTACGTCGGTGCGGTCGTATGCGGTTGTGTCATATGCGAGTATGTTGACAGTGCTCCGTCCTCCGTTTGCGATGTGCTGGCGATAGGCATAAAATACTAATTTATTTGTTTACAGATATTCCATTACTGTATTACGTCTATTTTCATATTTCCTACTTTTTTGAAGCATTAATTTTTTTTTTGTGTTCATACGTAAGTACGTAGAAATATTTTGATTCCCTCAAAAACACTAAATTTGAAGTAAATAATGAATGCTAATTTGGAAAGCATTGTGTTTTTATTCTACAGCTTGCAAGCTTGCCATCCTTTCGTTTGCCATTTACTATAGCATACATAGATAGATTTGCAAACTCTTGAAGAACAAGAACTAAGACTACTACTTCAGTTAGTGAACGACGCAAAACCATGTACCGTATATGTAGCTGACATGACCTATCTTAAGAGAGCGCAATATAAATGAAAGCTCAGGAGCGCCTTTACCGTCCGTAATGTATTTCCGTAAAAACGAGTCAGCTGATTGATCTCTTACAACGCAGGTTTTTCCAGGCTCGATATTTTGTAGTTCTTTGTATCACCTAAAACTAATCGCAATAGATATGGAGTTATATGTATATAAAAGATGACGAGGCGAGTTAAAATCTGGATCACTCTCTGTCCGTCTTTTAGCATTTCTTAATACATTGTGAAAATGGGTAAAATCAGATAATATCCACGCCCACTCCTTATGTTAAAAATACTAAAATCACCATAACTCACTGAATAAAACACAAGCATTAAATTTTACAACCAGGATAGCGGGGAAGGGTTTTATGGGAGTATATGTGAAAATTTGCCAATGGGGCAATAGAACAATTGAAACATCTGTGAAGTTATCAAAGTAAAACTTTGCACAAATAGTACCGTCAAGGTGTTCAATCTTAAGCCCTGAAATTGTCGAAATCGGAATATTACTTTTTAAGGAAGCAGACACCAAATATGTGAAGACCAGTGCATATGGCTGATTTTTTACCGAACATATCGGTCACTCTAGTTCAAGTTTTGAAAGTCGGGAAAAATTGGGTCAGGACTTCCTTAAGCCCCCCATATACCTAATATAAATATTTTCAAACTTCCGGTTGACTTTATATCGGTCAATATGTAAGAAATCTTAATGAAGTTCCAAAAAAATCTCTTTCTGATAATAGTGTATCTTCTTGCCTGTGTTTGTAAATAATAGATGCAATATTTCCTATTTGCGAGAGTATAAAATGTTCGAACTCAAACCTTCCTCAATTGTTAATAATTGAATATAAGTTTTTAGGTTTTTCTTTATGAAAAATTATAACTAAAAAGCTAGATGTGTGCAAATCCATGTATACAAATTGAGATATGGCAACATTGCTCAAATGTGATCAAAAGAGAACAACTGATTTCTACGTCGGTCGGTCACTTATTCCAGCATAAGAATACTGGAATAGACTTATGATTCAGATAGTGACCGACGAGCCGCCCTTCAGTAGTGACAACGTAGTTGCTGTTGTGCTCTTTTGACAAGCAGAGGCAAATACTAAAAATATACACGATCAGTAGCCGGTGTACGGTGTATATACATACATATGTATGTACTTATGTATATATACATATGAGTTCTTTTTAAGAATCTCATGCTTCATGTTGGTTGGCAGCGCTCCATCTTGAAAAGTCGTGTTTTTTATTGAACGAGAGCCTAATGTAATGCTTCAGTTCTCTCATTTCCGCTCATTTCACAAACACAAAAAGTGAACCTTCATTTAGTTCGACTCTTCTTAATCAGTTTAAATTGACACTCGAGGTCAAATTAATTGAGATTTTATTTTGTTCATATTTTCACATTACATTCATGTACATATGTGTAGGTTGTATCGTATTATTATCTCCCTTCAGTTGCATCTAGAAACAAATCAGTATTTAAATTAAAAACATAATAAGAGGGTAGAAAAATCAATGTAACGTAAAACATATTTAGAAGCTTGTTCGGTCAAGAAATCAACATATATGAGTAAAGTAAAAAAAAAATATTATAAAAATTTGAATGTAATTTGAAAAAAAGAAACGTATTATACTTTCTCAATATTTAGTGTCTTCGGTATTAGTGGCATGACTCGCCTTTTAATTATTGCCCACTGATATTAAAGTGGATTGAAATCTAGACTCTGGGCGGGCGAATTCAGCAGCGGAATTCTCTGGTTTTGAAGACACTGAATCACAGACCTTGACTTGTGGCAGGGCGCATTATACTATTGGAAAACTGCGGTGGTGTACACAGATAACGGTAAGTCTTCCAAAAACGGTACGAGATGATTTTCAATCAAGTTTTGGTATGTTACAGAATCTAACTTGCCCGTTATCTGCACAATAGGACCTGCTTCGTAAAGCAACCCCACATCATAGCACTTCCCCTCATCGAACTTAAGTTATTTGGGGGGCGTGGTACATAAGTTCTCCCATCAGGCGCGGGAATGTAGATTCGTCGCTGCAAACTACAGGATTTCAGAAGAAACGAGGAGAATCCGTATGCAATCTGACAAATTCCAATCGTACCTTTCGATTATTGTGTGAAATTTTGGCTTTTTCAAACTTTGGCATCCCCGAAGGTTATTTTCCAAAAGTCGCTGTCGGAATCTTCTCTTTTTCTGGTCATTTTGCGTCTAGATCTCTTTTTATTTGCAAATCCTCCTCCACGAACTTCTAATGCAACGAGCAATTTCACTATTATTTTTCCCGTCCTGGAACATGTTCCATATTAGACGCCTTTGCCTCTTCACTGGAGCTCTTGCAACGTCCCATGTTATTGATGTCTATTCAAAATTTGACTTACAGCTAATATCGGAGAAAAATTACAACCCTAAACGCAAACGAATTACGAAAAACTTTTCTGATGTCAGGATGTGCTAATTTAAATGCCAGTTTGAAACGGACCTTTTAATTTTCTACAATCCGTGATTTGTATTAGCAAAAAAAAAAACAAATTATTAATATAACAAATAAAAAAAATTCCTAATTTACAGTTATTTTGCAAGCTGGTGTATATTTATTATACCTTGAACAGGGTATCTGAAGTTTGTAACACCCAGAAGGAAACGTCGGAGACCCTATAAAATATATACATAAATGATCAGCATGATGAGCTGAGTTGATTTAGCCTTGTCCGTCTGTCTGTATATATACAAACTAGTCCCTCAGCTTTTAAGCTATCGATCTGAAATTTTGCACCTGTCCTTTTCTCAGGCATAATATAGTATATAGCTGCCATACAAACTGAACAAACGGAATCAAGTAATTGTATTTAAGGCATTAATGTAATCTCCGAAGAAATCGCCATATTAACTGAATGATCGGAATAAAGCGCTTGCATGGAAAACTTTTATTTCACCAAGTATCATCACGAAATTAGATCATAATCTATCATTCTATTGTGAAGCATATTATATTATATTCGGTTGCACCGAAGTTAATGTTTTTTTGTGTTTGAAAATTCCATTTGTGTCTAATTGCAATTATTATTGGACAAAATATATAAATATATCACCTCAATCGTAACCTGCCATTAAATTTTAAACTTACACAATATCCTATGTTTCTCTGAACTTCATTTCGAATTCGCTTCGCCTTTCTATATACTTATATATTTTAGATATGTACATACATACGAGTATGTACATACATCTACATAGCTCTGTAAAATTTTCGACTAATATAGTATTTAGTACAAAAACAAACAAGAGAAATACACTTTCATTATAGTGTTTTGAAATCAATACATAAAATTGAATATAGTTGCGAATGCTGCAGGAATAATGACTATAAAAGAAAGAACAAGAGCAATGAGTTGGTGCACCTGATATACCGTAAGTGTATTTCGAAGTGAAATTACAAAAGAGACTAAAGCGATAGAAGAAAATATGGTATATAACAACATCCCACTTGCTGGCATTCGAACTACATACTACATATTCCAAGAACCGCTGTGCTCTAAAAATAATCGCACCAAGAATAAGTTGGCAAAGGAAATTACATACATACCATGTACAACAAAAGTTGAAGAATTGTAGGGGAAGGAATTCAAGAAAAAAACTTTCAAAAAGAAGCTCCTAATTTACAGGAACATTCGCTCCACATGAGTAACTTGTTTTTTATTCTACTTGTATCTTCTTTTTAACAGCAGATATATTTTTGCATATTGTGCATACAGTACTGGGCATTAAAAACCAGGTAGTAGTACCTACTTTAAGTTTGAGTAAGTCCGCTATTCCTAATTGGATTAGCATGCAATTTTTGCGATATTACAATTTTAATGAATTTTCTGATCAATATTCTAGAGTATTTCGAATTTTTATAATACGTTTTTAATTATTCGCTTCGAAAGATATCACAAATTCAAAAATGTAATTCGCTAGTCTGCTAGTTATAAATAAATATAGTAGTTTAAAAACAAAAAAAACATTTTAAAGCACTTCAAACTAAGCAGTGAAAAATAATTCTAATATAAACTTGTATTATTGTGAGAAAAGTGGGGTATGCTCGATATACGAAAAATATGACACAAAGTACCCTAACCCAAAATGATTATTTAAAATGTGAATATGAAAATTAAAATGAGGCTAAAGATTTTAGATGACATAACTTCTCAAAGTCCCAATGAGGAAGAAGCAGTGGAAACATCTAGGCACTTTCTCCTCTAACTCATTTGGGACCGAGGAACAATTCTTAATGTTGTAGTAGGAATATGAAAACTAGCGTGGATATCTATACGTTAGTAGCGGTGATCCATCCCACAGTTTTAAGATTTAAGTATTTTCCGTAGTAATTTCACAACCCAAAAGAAGGCCAAATGGTCAACACATGTGGCGCAGCTGTGAAGAATCTTTGTGTTTTCTGCTAACACGTTCTTCCATTTATAATCGTTTTTGAAACAGTCGTAAATGTATGTCGTATTGAAATGTATAAATATTTGCAGTCTTCCATAATAAGACACCCATTCGATATTATGGTACCGAATGTTATACTTTATAGAGTTCCTCAAAAGCATCAGCAAATAGTTAGATGAAAGCAAACATACATATAACAAGGAAGAGCTATGTTCGGGTGTAATCGAACATTTTATACTGTCGAGTTCAAAGCCAGAGAAATACTTTCAAGTGTTGGCAAAACTTTATACTAAAACTTTGGCATACAAATTCAACATTCATTCTTTGACGAAACCGTGAATGGAATAGGTGCTATCTTTTTTAACTTATATACATATATTATATATACAGTGTATCACAAAAATAAGTATGCACTATGTATGTCAAAAAAGTCATATCATGTCATTCACATTTTCCGTTATTAAGAACCGCTTGATTTTCTCAGTAAAAACCAAAAATCAAGTCACATAAATATGTATGCAATTTACCATTTCAGTATGTTTTCGACTGGCACACAGTATTTGTGGATAAAATGATCCGAAACTCTTTGATTCGAGAGAGCGCTGTCAAAGTCCACATATTTTATAACATTTGACAGTGGTGCCACTAAGGAACGAAATAAGTTTTAAGATTTTTTAATGTATTTTTTGGGTATTTTTCGGTTTCCATTTTACAGAAAAATATACATAATTAAAATTAGTTTAACAAGCTAGATACTTATGTACATGTATATTTTAATCACAAAAGTTTTTCAAAATTAACGTTTAAAATTAAATTTAACAAAATATTTTATTATTTCAAAACACTTACAAGTTTTAAATAACCTTATGAACCTTATTTCTTTTTTATATACTCAATAAACAAATATTTTTTTGATAATTTATTCGGAAGTCAAAGTTTACATGACATTTGCTGGGAATTCTAACCAAAATATGTATATACATACGTTGACAATTGGTACTGCTAAGCAAAACAATGCTCTTCGACAAAATACCCGCTCTTTCTTAAAAACTATATTAAATCTCTTTAAATAAAGATTAGAAATATACGTAAAAGTCACCAAAATATCTGATCTCACAAATTACCCACTGATTTTGCAATTTATTTCTGCGGGATTCTTAGTGGTAGTTCATTGTTTTGCTTGTCATCTGTTCAGTAGCTCATGAACTCGTGGTTTACTTTGGCAGCACTGAAAGTTCATGAGCTCTCTCAGAAGGCAAGGAGAGGAGTTTCGGATCATTTTATCTATGATTTGTTCGCTTCAAAATCATTAAATAGTTATTTTTTGTTTAATATATAATATTAAGATTTACAAGTTTTAATAAAGTTTTGGCAGGAATTTAATTTAAATTTTGATCATGGCGCCGCGCGGAAGAGAGTAGATTTAAAAGATGTTATAATAATACTACATAAAGAACAAAAAAGTCAGAGGCAAATTGGAAAAATAACAGATAAAAGTAGGTAAACTATTCAAAAAATAATAGAACAATATAAAAAAGAGGAAATTACAAAAAATAAGGAAAGATCTGGGCGGCCAAAAATGTTTGATGCAAACAAGCGGCGTATTTTAACAAGCAAGATGCAAGTGAACCCAAAGAAGAGTGCCCCAAAAGTGAGTACAGAGATTGAAAACGAGACTGGTAAAACCTGCAATCCCCAAACTATTCGTTGAGTACTGTATGATGCTAGCTATCATAGTCGTAATGTCCGTAAAAAGCCATTCATAAGCAACACTAACAGACAAAAAAGATTGAAGTTTGTGAAAGAGCGACGAACACTTCTGGAATTCTGTTATTTTCTCGGACTAAAGTAAATACAATACTTTTGGTTCGGATGGACATGAAAAAGTTTGGAGAAAAAAGAAAAGTGAATACTGAGCTTGAACCACGGAATATGACTGCCGCGGTAAAACATGGTGGTGGGTCGCTCATGATGTGGGGATATAGCAGCATCTGGAGTAGGTAATCTTGTGTTCATTGAGCATACAATGAACAAATATGATTACCTTAACATTTTAAAAGCCAATTTGAACGAAAGTGCGTCTAGATTGGGTCATGAAGGATCATTTGTCTTTCAACACGACAACGATCCAAAACACACCACTCTCATTGTTAAGGATTGGCTTCTTTACAAGCCACCCAAACAATTAAAAACACCAGCCCAATCTCCTGATGTCAATCCTATCGAGCAATTGTGGGATTATTTAGAAAGAAAAATCAGAAGACACCAAATAACCAGCAAAGAATCTTTGAAAGCTGCGCTAATCGAAGAATGGAGCAAGATTCCACCTTCAGTGACCCAAAAGCTGGTCAAGTCCATTCCATCCAGGTTGAGTGCATTTAAAAAATCCAAAGGCTATCCAACGAATTACGAAAACGATTAACCGTCCATAAAAGCTCAAAAACAACCCCGTTAGAACTTTTTTTTCGCAATTTATTTTTAGTGCATACATACTTTCGTGACGTAATTTTAAGCTATTGGAACATTCTTTTCTGTAATTTGAAAAATTATTACTTTAAGTTTGGGTTTTTTGTTATTGGAGACATATAAAATAATTGAAAATATAAAAAAATTGGTTAATAATATTAGTTTTCGCATGACAAAACAGATAAACACGCTACATACTTATTTTTGTGATACACTGTATATATGTATATATTTTTTTTGTTTTCCTTTAATAGGCATTGATGTTTGGCGATGAATACCACGTAAAAGTTTAACTTAATCGAAAAATTATACATACAAAATCCACAACACGAAATATGTTTTTATGTAGTTGGAAGCGGGATATGAATTTTTCTATCCGATAGTAAGTAAAAAATAAAAAACGGTTAGTCGCAGGACCTACCTGTTACAATTAAGAGCTCATAGTTGGAGAGCCTTTCTAAGAAGAGTCTATCAACCAGTTTTTCAGATTATTAAGCGAACCTAAGGTTTGTTCCCTACCAACACATTTTTATCTTAACGATCACTTCATACCGGTGAATGAATATATACTAAAGTGGTCCGATTTGAACAATATCTTCAGAGATTATAGCGCTGCCTTAAACAATATTACTACGCCGAACTTCGTGAAGGTACCTTGCCAAATAAAAAATGTT